GAAAGGAAGATACAATGTCTGTCTTGTTCAAGCAATATGTCCAGTGTCCAGTACAGTGCCAAGAACAAAGAAGGTATTTAAAACTTTCATGTATTGAAAGAAAGAAACATATATTCATCATCTGTAAAGTACCATAGCATGAGTGGAAATGTCTCAAGAAAACTGGGATCTTTCTGGTTTTTACAGTTTATAATCATACATCTTTGGGACTGGCTCTTATTCCATCACAGTCTCCTTTAATAAACTGCAAAATAATAATAGACTCCCCTAAAGCTATCATCTGTCAAACTATATTTTTTTCTTCTATAGTTTTTATTAAATGAGTACTATATGCAGGAACTATGGTAAGATCTGAGACACAATGGTAGCAAAAATAGATTAAAAAAATGACATCAGGAAACCACTCCACACATTCTCCCCAACATACACCCACTGATCTCAGTGCTCCAAACTGGGAGACAGAGATCCACTCAGTGGACATTCTGACATTATTGCTGTTTTTAGTAACTCACACCAGGACTTAAACCCGTTTTATTATCCTTGGAAACCAAGCACTCTCTTAATTGCAAATGTTTAAAATCTATATTTTGACAGCATCCTTCTTGGTCTTCAGTCATCACACTGAGACCAGTATTTTAAAAAATCTCTTTCCATTTGTTAATATTTCTGATTAATGTCTGGTAGTTTTCAGCATACAGGTTTTACACATATTTGGTCAAATTTCCTCCATGTACTGAGTATATATTGATGCTGGTGAAAATGGGATTTTTAAATCTCAATGTCAGCTGGCACCGTGGCTCAATTGACTAACCCTCCGCCTGCGGCGATAGCACTCCAGGGTTCTAGTCCCGACTGGGGCGCTGGGTACTAGTCCTGGCTGCTCTTCTTCCAGAACAGCACTCTGCTGTGGCCCGGGAGGGCAGCGGAGGATGGCCCAAGTGCTTGGGTTCCTGCACCCGCATGGGAGACCAGGAGGAAGCACCTGGCTCCTGGCTTCGGATCAGCACAGCACCGGCTGTGGCAGCGATTAGGGGAGTGAACCAATGGAGGGAAGACCTTTCTCACTGTCTGTAACTCTCTTTCTCTCTCTCTCTCACTGTCTAACTCTGCCTGTCAAAAAAAAAAATAATAATAATCTCTATGTCAGGCACAGTAGGTTAACACCCTGGCCTGAAGCGCCGGCATCCCATATGGGCACTGGTTTGAGACCTGGCTGCTCCACTTCCAATCCAGCTCTCTGCTATGGCCTGAGAAAGCAGCAGAAGATGGCCCAAGTCCTTCCTGCTACTGTAAACCCTGGGAGGCAGTGATGGCTTAAATAATTGGGTTCAGCTACCTACATGGGAGACCTGTATTATATTCTCAGTTCCTGCCTTAGGACCCAGTTAAGTCCCAGCTGTTGTGGGATTTGGGGAGTGAACCAGTGGATAGGAGCACTCTGTCTCTCTGCCTCTCAAATTTTTTTTCAAATATTTATTCTATTTATTTGAAAGGGAGAGAGAGAGAGAAGGAGAGAGAGGAAAGGAGACAGAGAGGGAGGGAGAGAGAGATTCCATCTGCTGGTTCACTCCCAAAATGGCCACAACAGCCAGGGCTGGACCAGGCCAAAACCAGGAGCTAGGAGCTTCCTCCAGGGTCTCCCATGTGGGTGCTGGGGCCCAAGGAGTTGGGCCATCCTTCACTGATTTCCCAGGCACATCAGCAGGGAACTACACTGGAAGCAGAATAGCCAGACTCAAATGGGTGCCCACAAGGGAAGTTGGCACTTTAGGTAGGTCTAACCCGCTGCACCCCAGCACTGGCCCCAATAAGATGTTGAACTATAGCTAGGATTTCATTAGAGTGGAAGAAGAGGAGGACCACTGTGAGAACAGAAGTAGACCTGAGCAGGGCGCTTGAGAGAGCGGTGTTGCTAACTCATCTTAAGAGAGCAAGCTGAGGGAGATAAGATGGCACAGGTACCCTGGGGAGAGGTTTTCCATAACCTTGAAATTCATCCTGGAAGTCCATCCAAAAAGTTTGGACTTTTTCCTAAGGATACTGAGAAATGAGTGCTTATTTTTTAGCATTTCAGAGACAGCGTAAAGCCACAATCGAGGCACATTTTGGCAAGAATTTAGTATAAGAATGAGTAAGCACCAAGATCTGGAGAGAAGTTATTGTGACAGTTCAGACACAAGATGGTGAGGGCTTGAACCAGGACAGTGGCGAGAGGAAGGATGGAGAGGGAGAATATGGAAAGGCCTCCGAGGGAGGTGATGGAATGGAACCAACTAGGTGGGGGATGACAACAAGAGATGAAGTCAAAAATGACTGAGAGCCCAAGAATTATGGTGCCACTGGCAGTAACTGATTTTAGAGGGGTGATTACGTCTAGATATTCTGTGCTTAAGGGACAGTGAGAATTTCCAAGAAAAGACAGTGGTTAACCAACTACCTCATAGCTTTAGGAAGTTGTCAGAACTGAATATGCACTTAGGGAATTTTCCTCCTAGAGACGGTGGTTGAAGAGGTGATGATAGATGGTTCTCCCAGGAACCAGGAGAGGTAAAAGGGAGTTCTCGCAACCCTGTGCATGGGCGGCAATCTAGGGAGATGCAGGATAGCAGAGAAGGACGCCTACAGAGCAGCACCCACATTACCTAGAACCTAGAGTAAAATCACCCCCATCTCTCACCCAGAGACTAAGGCAGCCATGAACAAAGCAGACGGAAGAGCTCTGTCCCTCCTTCTCTCTCCCTGTAATTCTGCTTTTCAAATAAATAAATAAATCTTTTTAAAATTCTACTTACTTGCTCAAAGTGATATTTCCCTTTACTCAAGCAACATTTTTGAGTCTGTGACAAGGGGCCAGTGCTGTGGCATCGTGGTTCAAGTCCTGGCTGCTGGACTTCTGATCCAGCTCCCTGCTAATGTGCCTAGGAAAGCGTGGAAGATGGCCCAAATACTCTGGCCCCCACAACCACGAAGGAGACCTAGAAGAAATTCCTGGATCCTGGCTTCAGATCAGCCCAGCTCGGGACACTGTAGTCATTTGGGGAGTGAACCAGTGGATGGAAGACCTCTCTGTCATTCCTTCTATCTCTCTCTAACTCTGCCTTTCAGCTAAATAAATAAATCTTAAAAAAGTTTTGACAAAGCACTATGCAAAGATAACAAAACCATTTGTGATTCCCAACCAGCACTATGCACTGAGAACTTCAAATATGTCTGACACAGTGCTAAATGTTTTATATTTACTAAGTTATCTTTTTTTTTTAATTTTTTTGACAGGCAGAGTGGACAGTGAGAGAGAGAGACAGAGAGAAAGGTCTTCCTTTACTGTTGGTTCACCCTCCACTGGCTGCTACGGCCACTGCGCACTGATCTGAAGGCAGGAGCCAGGTGCTTCTCCTGGTCTCCTATGTGGGTGCAGGATCCAAGGACTTGGGCCATCCTCCACTGCCCTCCCGGGCCACAGCAGAGAGCTGGACTGGAAGAGGGGCAACCGGGACAGAATTTGGCGCCCCGACCGGGACTAGAACCCAGTGTGCTGCTGCCACAGGCGGAGTATTAGCCTATTGAGCCGCGGTGCCGGCCACTAAGTTATCTAAAAAAAAAAAGCTTGTGACACACTATAGTATCACTTCACAGATGTGGAAAATGAAGCCCAGAGATGTTGGATAACGTTTCCACAGCCATGGAATCATGGGGCTCCATCTTGGTTGTCCAAGCTGTGCACTGTACAAGCTATAAGACCTTTCACATAAAAATTTGGCAGGAAACACAGTAGAGTATGACATGTAAAAAAAAGTATGCCCTTAACTATCACATTATACTGCCTCCTCAAGGACCCAACTGTCAAGGAAACTTCAATATGAATTTCAGATGCTATCATAACCATATTTTTCAAAGTGACCAAATGAGGTAAACTATTCCCAAATCAGAAAATCAGAAATTAAGTTACCTGATCTAAAAAAGGCTGGGACATACAGTAATTATGCTTGTGTCACTACTTAATAAAACTATTTTTGAGATTTTTCCTTTTATTTCCTGACTATATATCTAATTTACTGTTATTTCCTGAATATGTTCATATATCTAATTTTTTAGAAAGTAAAGCTATGTTGTGAAAAAAGGCTTTATACAACCTGCTAAGCTGGGGATGGCATTGCGGTACAGTGGGTTAAACCACTGCTTGCAGCGCCAGCATCCTATATGGGCGCCAGTTCGAGTGCCAGCTGCTCCACTGCCCATCCAGCAACCTGCTAATGCACCTGGGAAACCTGCAGAAGATGGCCCAAGTGACTGCCCCTGCTCCCATGTGGGAGAACCAGAAAAAACTCCTGGCTTTGGCCTGACGCAGCCCCAACAGCTGTAGCTATTTCGGGAGTGAATCAGTGGATAGAAGATCTCTTTCTCTCCTTTTTTCTCTGTAACTCTCCCTTTCAAATAAATAAATCTTAAAAAACACAAAACACAAAAACAAAATAAAAAAAAAAAACGAGGCTAAATACTTAAACTAGGCAGCTAAAATCATCCTAAAAATCAGAAATTGACCTTTTTCTTAATTTTCAACAGGTTAAAGGACAAGTCCTAAACCCCTCTCAGCCAGTTTTATTTTCTCCTTTCTTCCCCTAAATGCATCCACACTGACTTGCTACTAACCTAGCCTAATTTCCAGTTCCTAACCGCAAACCTTCCTTCATTTGAGCAAGTTTCCACTAAGCCATGGCCTCCATTTTACCCATTATAAAGCCCTTTTCTCTAATAAAAGGTACCCCTAAACTTCATTACTTCCCCTGAACTTGATTATTGACAGCACTTTAAGCAGCCTCTGCTTGGTCTGCCCTACAACTCTGTAGCTACACTGTCAGGTACTGACACGCCCACCCCACCCTCAGGATGTCTGTCAGTACTGCTCAGAAGAGAACTTCAGCAAAGCTCAGAAAAACAACGTGTTTAGAGGACACTCTGGGTTCAGTCTTATCCTACAGTGCGGCGCCCTGAGACGCACTTACGTTGTTACTGTGCAGATAGTCGACTGCTCGAAGGATCTGGAACAGGTACTTCCTGAGCCGCTTGCTCTCCAGCCCGTGGCAGTAGTGCTGCAGCTCATCCAGCACTGTGTGGTCGATAAACTCAAACACCAGGTGGATTTTCTTTTTCTGTCTGAAAACTTCGATCAGATTGACCAGGTTTTCATGACGAAATTGCTGTTGACAAAAGAAACAGACTTTTAATATAAATTCAAAGATAACGTGTACACATAACACATACTTTTGAAAAGAAACAAATATTCTCAGCTGATCTTCCTACACGCGTTTCAACAAAAATGTCTCACTTTATTTGCGTACATTCCCATTTTCAGAGAATTTTACTCCATATCATGATCAATATAGAATCAAGTGAGATTTGTTCTTTACTGCAAGTTGGCATTTGAATTACTTATTAAAATAGTTTAGAATTAATGCACCATAACATAACTTAGTATGAAGTTGAGCGTTATCTTGCTATCTTATAATCGTTTGTGGTTATATTGAATATCTGAAAGTTAGAAGGTCCATATGTGAACCAAAGAGCACTAACTTCAACACCACTAAGGGTATGACTGAATATATACAAATTAATCATTCTCTGATTGCTGTGCTAAGCTCTAGAGAGGAAGCTGTGAGTTCGAGAGAGACATGATTCACCAGAATGTAACGAGAGAATAGGAGAATATCAAGATCATCTTCAGACATGTGAAATACCCATCAATAATCAATAATCTTAGGAACTTCATAGAAATATCTGTGGGGAAATTTCGGTTCGCTGTCTGTACTGTTTCATTAAACGGCAAACACCTTTCAGACTGGTAACAATCACTGGACACAGCTTTAAACTGGTCATTTTTATCAGCTATGATACCAATGAGGTTTAGTATTTCAAACTGCTTTTCCTACTTTACAACACATTACTTTATCATCAAATCTGAAATATCTAATCATTTTTTTCAACTAGCCAAAATGTTTTTTTCATTTGGCTAAAAATGAAGGGGTGTATTTTCAGCGCTAGATTCCTTAGGAGACTATACTTCTATGAACAAACATCTGCCTTGATTCTAATGGCACAACATCATTTTCCCCACTTCACTAAACCTAACACAGAGACTAAAATCCTTACAACATGACTAACAGAAAATCATGCCAAATGTGATGCCAGGCTCCTTTCCTATTTTTGCTCTCAATTTCTCCAGCTGGCCAGACACCAGGGCACTGCGGCAACAAAACGCTGGCAACAGCAACGAGAACAGGCTGCTTCCCACGCTGAGATGTTCATCCTCATGTCAGGAAAGCCGCTGGCTTCCTATGCAGTCTCCATTTTCAAGGCAAAAGCAGTAAGGGCAGTGAAGGGTTAATAGGAGGTAATCAGGAACTGTGTGTTTTTTTTTTCAAGGAAACCCCAAGAATTGTTCCATTATTCCTTTTCAAGTTATTTCATTCTGTTTCTCCAATACTAGTAAATATTTTTACAGAAATTTCCACTAATTACTCTAACTGTAATTTATTTCATGAAATTCTAACTGAAAAAAAAATAGTTCAAATTAAGTTACTTTTAGTCTAGGAATGTTAACTAAAGCAAGAAATCTCCAGTGGAATTATATTACATCAAATTAAAAATACTGTAAGAAGCCAATGTGAATAGTTAAGGTGACACAAAATAATATGCATAGTAAGAATAAAATACATCCATTTTCAAGGTCATCTCTGTGTTCTTACCACATTTTGGTTATTTTTACAAAATGATTATGTAGTAAAAATAACCAGCTTAAATAAAACAAACTTGAAGAAAGCACAAGAAATACTGCCTGGAAAAAAGCCTCTCTGTAATCCGATTTTCATTCCTGGTCTACGACAGTTGCCTTACGGATTATATTTTAGATCATCAAGACGGGGCCTGGAATCACAAAATCCCAACATCTTTACCGACTTTAACTTTCCTTTTCACTGTCTAGTAATAGAGAGTTCCAGCAACACACAAATGCCTAATACAGTTCTACTTAGAAAGCGAACTGATCACACCTAATACAGACTTACCAAGAAAGAAAACACTACTTTTCTACCAGATAAGGACGAATAAGTAATCTGTTTTCTTCATCACATATAAGACTCTAGGCCACGATGTCAAAATCACAGACCTCAAAGCACGCGGACAGATGCCTGTATAAACACACACACACACACACACACACACACACACACACACACACACACACCCCACTGGTTTAGCGCCGGTTCCTAAGGCACGCTCCTCCTGCTTTCTCCACACTCCTCAGCCCAGCCCGAGGCTGCCCTGCCCCGGCTGCCCCATGAAGCTGCCCGGATACTGCTGCCTGTCTAAACGTTGAGTTAACGTCCTGTCACCTGAAATGCGGTATTTCTCAAACTGAACCGCCTGGAGTCTTCCACAGACTTCCACCCGCCGCGAGGCTCCCACAGCTCTCTGGCCTCTCCCGGGCTCCCACGCTGCCTTCCACAACACGGAGGACCCTTCGTTCCCCAACCACACTCCCAGGGCATGCACCAGGACCCCCGCGCCAGGAAGCACACACACACACACACACACACACACACACACACCCTGGGCTCTGTCCACTCCACAGGGTAGTATCTCTGCATTCAATTACACGGAATCCAAACCTTCCCCGACCGCCCACCTACGCCATCTAGCTTTGACTCCCTAAGAACCCTGTTTCTAACCCTGCGAACGTCTCTGCCGCTGTCCCGCAGGCTGGCATAGCAGGTTTCTCCCTCCTACCTAGAACTCCCGCCACCGTTCACGCCTAAACCACGTCCCACCTCTTTCAAGAACCCTCCCAGCCCAACAGGACCTGTGTTAACCACCTGACACTGACTTTTTAATTCCACTTCATTCCCATACACCCTCCTGGCTTTCTGATTAAACCACACAAGTCCTGAGGACCACGAACTCCTGGAAGTCACGGCCCGGTCACAAAGCAGATACCTGTATTCAGTATTGCACTTTACAGTCACAAGGTTGGCGTAATTGTGTTACATTGTACGCAGACACGTACACTTTGTTCCACTACCAAACGACAGAATGTAGGCAGTAAGGGGATACCTGTTTTTCTATTAAATGTCTCACTGCAAATTAACAGAAACGTTCTTTCCCGCAATTTTTATTCCATAGCAATTTTTCTTTTGACTCACAGAGCAACGAAGGCAAAAGAAGCAAACCTTTAGAAACTTTATCTCTCTCAATGCAATTTTGTTGACAGACTTTTCTGGTTTCTCATAGAATATCTTAATGGCCACTATCTGCCCAGTGTTCTTATGTTTACATTTCATGACCGTTCCGTAACTTCCCTCTCCCACTTTGCCAAGGGTTTCATACATCTCCATCCTCAAGCCTGGCGGCTACTTCTTCAGAGGAAGAAAGAAAGAAAACGGAAAATGTTAAACGTCCCGACTCTGCGGAACGCATTCGCGCAGGAGACCCGCACTCCCGAACAGGGGCCCCGTGGCCAGGCCGCCGCGGCGGCCGGAGGACGCCTCGGTCACTCCCACCCACCGGACATCCCCTCGCCACACCATCCCGCGGGCCTGGTGTCCCACACTTCCTGGCTCCAGTCGAGAGGGCTCCGCACTCCCGCAGTCGCCCACACGCGCGTCTCGGGCCCGCGTCCCAGCACAGCCTGGTTCCCGCCCGCTCCTCAAACCCGACGTCTTAGAATCCCGGACCGGCGTCGCGCCCCTCGCCCCGCGGTCGACCTGTCCGGGCAACCGCCACCGCCTCAGCCCATTCTGTGGCTCCGCGCAGCCCCGGGCAGGCAACGGGACGCCGACTCCACTTAGCCCGCTAGCCGGGCAGGCCGGGAGCCGCTCGCTACCATGGCAACGTTGGGGTTGGGGGAGGGAACGGCGCTCGGGCGCTAGTGCGCAAGACCGGAACGTCGGCGGTGTCCCGACCCGGAAGGGAAAGCGAAAAGCGGAAACGAGCTGTGGGTGGGCGTTAAGTCGAAGCTTCCTTGGGGTGGGGCGCGGGCGTGCAAGTTGCCGTCGCGTTTTCGTCGGTTTTAAGGGGCAAGGTATCTTGCCTGCAGCGTGAAGGGCTGCAGGTGCTCAGGGCGCAGTGGTGTCCGCCCTGCGCCGCGGGTGGACCCTTGTCGTACGACACCAGCTCGTTTCGGAGCCTAGAAAGATGGCTTTCGTCGTTCCACAGCTTGGAAATTGGAGCTTCCAGGAAAAGCTCAGTGACCGAGCTCGACCCCTGCAGTCCACGTTAATCCCCAAAACGGGGACAAAATGGCTCTCAAGAACCGTTTTTGAACACTTAACATGCCTTCTGAGTTCTTCCAACACCTACTGATCCTTTTCAAAAACTACAGCCAAAACCCTAAAACGCCCGCTTTAGGAAACCAAATAACTGAAAAACGTGCTTCCACATATGGTGTGATTATAAAGGAACCGGACGGGAGTTGGGGGTGAGGCCGGTGATTAATTGCTTCTGCAGGGTGACAGCCCCAATGAATAACAAGATCACTAGAGCCCAGTGCCCGCAGAGTGCCATCTTTATTTGGAGCTGGCTTTTTCTGCAAAATGCAGTGGATGCAAAAGGCCAAAACGAGCTGTGCTTCTCAGCTATGAGGAGGGGCATTATCCAGTAAATTCTAATACAGTAGGACCCACTCCAAGATGCACATTAAAATAACTAAAAAGCTCCCCACCATCTCAGTTCAATTGGGATGGGATAAAGAAATTGGTATCTGGACAGGTTTCCAAGTATTTCTACGCTGTCACTAGGGTTTATGTTGAGAGCTCGAGACGAAGGCGTAACCATGGTTCTCTTTTACCACCTCAGATACACAAAATTGTCTTTCCTTTTGAAAACCGTTCAGCCATACTATCAAATACCTTATAAATAAGAATGTCATAGTCAATCTTACATTGGGCTCACACGTGCTGTAACCGTGTGTAGCAAATGGTTGACTATTTGCAAGGGACAAACCACAATGCAGATTATCCCCACCCTCAGTGAGCTCACTTAGCTACAAAGGTGTCAGTAATGACAGCTGTAAGACTTCTTAGGGCAAGTCTTAAGGTGCATTGGACGGGGCCACACTCGGGACACCCCCATCCCACAGCAGAGAACCCATTGGAGCCCGGCTGCTCTGCTTTCCACCCAGCTCCCGCCATTGAGTCCTGAGAGGCAGCCGATGATGCCCGCGGGAAAGTGGGAGAGGAGATGGAGTCCTGGGCTCCTGGCTGCCCCGGCACAGCCCTGCTGGTGCAGGCATTTGCAGGAATCAGTCAGTGGGTGGAAGATCCACCTCCCTCTTCCTCTCTTTTTACAGATAGATTATGGCAGGTTTGGTGTCCAGGACAGCCAGCAACTTCTGGTAATAAACTGCTCTAAAGCCTTATGAAGCTCGTTTTGAATTTGTCAAGCATATTATTTCATTTTGGAAATTCATAAAGTGTCTATTACCAAAACAGTTATAAATTGCTAGATAAGTGGCCGGCGCCGGCTCACTAGGCTAATCCTCCGCATTGTGGTGACGGCACATCAGGTTGTAGTCCCGGTCGGGGCGCTGGATCCTGTCCCGGTTGCCCCTCTTCCAGGCCAGCTCTCTGCTGTGGCCCGGGAGTGCAGTGGAGGATGGCCCAGGTGCTTGGGCCCTGCCCCCGCATGGGAGACCAGGAGGAAGCACCTGGCTCCTGGCTTCGGATCCACACAGTGCGCAGGCCACAGCAGCCATTTCGGGGGTAAAGCAACGGAAGGAAGATCTTTCTCTCTGTCTCTCTCACTGTCTAACTCTGCCTGTCAAAAAAATAAAATAAAAAATAAATAAATAAATAAAAATTGCTAGATAAGTGGCAAGGATTTTTTTTTTTTTTTTTTTTTTTTTTTTTTTTTTGACAGAGAGAGCTAGACAGTGAGAGAGAGAGAGAGAAAGCACTTGGGCCATCCTCCACTGCTTCCCGGTCCACAGCATAGAGCTGGACTGGAAGAGGAGCAACCGAAACAGAACCCAGAGTGACAGGGATTTTTAAGAGTTTCTGTTTAGCACTGCACTGCTTGTAACTACGCTTATGCCTTCCTCTTTGGCTATAGAGAGGATTAAGGTTGCAATGGCAGGAAAGCGAAATAAAATAATACGCAGAATCCCACGGTGAACGCACACCATGACCTAAGGTCTGGCTAACTTGATCACAAGGCCTCTACTAAAACCAAAAGCTAGAATTCAGGGCTTGAAAAAAGATTGTGATCAGGAAAATGGGAAAGTTAACCCTTTCTGGTTCCATGGAACTGTGGGCAATTTCTGTGCGAAATTAGGTGGTTCTCATCCTACCCTCCTTCTCCTTGTAGAACTGAATTCCTCCATAGGGAAGGGCTCAGAGCCCTCCAGACCAACAAAATCCTCAGGACAGAAACGGAGGCTACAGGGAGGGGGAATTTAGCACCTGAAGGAATGTTCAGGGTCCCCATAGTCCACACCTGTGAGGAGGTGGCACTTGCGCCCATTCGCACCCTACTTGCGAATGCAGAGAAATCTAAAATGAGTTATCTGGGGCTGGCTATATAGCTCCCACGTGCCTCCACGATGCCTTCCTCCAGATCTGAGTCCTTTTGTAGATTTCGTTGACAACCAACCACTCCTGATCTGCTCACGCGGGTGCACCCCCATTTTCTAACAAATCCAAAGAGCAGGCAAATCCGTCGTTATCTTAGAATGAACACAGACCCATTAAAAACTTATTTCCATGGGGCCTTTTTAACTCTTCTGTCTTCACCTAGAAGTAGCAACCTTGGGAACCCCACTGCAAGGCGGGAACAGACATCCGGCAGCCGTGGGGAAACATTTCGGGGCTTTTACTTTGCGTTGTGCTCCCTAGGTGACAGCCTTTCGGTTTTCCCTCCTGCCCCACGGAGCAAAGTTGATAAGCCAATGAGGGATAACAATGAAGTCCTGAGTTACTTGTGGTTCCGTTTTTTAAACTTTGGAATCAATCTATCGTTCCAGCACGACTCCGGCTGTAAGGTCCCGGTATCTGGGACAGACGCGAGGAACAACTAATGAAGACATACCCCGCCCTCCGCTTCCCAGACCCGGCCGAGCAGGTCCAGGGGACGCGCTCACGTGACCCGTTCTAAAGCGTCACAGGGACACGTGGTTCTAGATACTTCGTCCCCTCCCCCTCAGGGGTGGATTGTTGACAACGCCGGCGGCGGCCACGTGACCTTACGTCATCCCTCCTCCTTTCCCCGAAATCTCTGGCCCCGGATGCGGTCCCTCTCTCCCCACCCCGCCGAACCTAAGTTCGTGACGAGGGGGGAAGACAAAGTAGTATTTCCGTTTCTGTGTCGCTTAACCCACCACCTCTGCTCTGAGCACGGAGAACACTAATTTGTCGATCCGTAACAGAAGGCGGAATGGGAGCGATCGCAGCCGGCGGGCTGCAGGAAGCGGCGCCGGCCCGCTCCTCCGCCCGGCTCCCCCTGCTGCCATGGTAGCGGCGGAGGGCGGAGGGATCTGGAGGCGGCGGAGGGAGACGTCATTGCGGGGTTGTTTGTGCAGTCTCGGCGGCGGCGGTGACCCACAGTGATTCGGCCGCCGCGCCGGGGGGTGGGGGGGCTGCGCGGGACTCTTTTTCTTTCAGATTGACCGCGGGGCAGCTGGGGAGCATGTCGACCCCGGCGCGGAGGAGGCTCATGCGGGATTTCAAGCGGTAAGGGCCTCCTCCCGCCCCCCGATGGCGGCTCCTTCCTGAAGCTGTGGGGCTGCAGGGCGGGATCCCGGACACCTTCCCCTGTTGCCTGTAAAGGCGCCGGCTGTGGGCCCGGCGGGACCTACGGAAGCCCGGTGCTGGCCTCGCCAACCTCTCTGAGGACTCAGAAATTCCGCTGCGACCCCTCCCATCCCCCGAAAGTGGAGAGGTGGCGATCGGCCGGCCTGGGGCGCCCTGCACCGCGCGGCGCCCCCTCTCTCTGGCCCAGAAGCGAGCTCTTGAAGGAGCTTGCTCCTCGCCCGCTGCAGCGGTCAGCTTTGTTCCGCGCCCGGGGGACGGGGTTGGGGCCCGGAGCCCCCTCCCCCCGTTCCTTTGCGCCCCGCGGGGAGGGTGGGGTGTGCCGCGCGAGGTCGGGAGGTGGTTACCCCATCCCCGAAACCCGACTCTGCCCCCGCCGCCTGCCAGGACCTTGAGAGCTGGCGTCGGAGCGGGGCTCGGGCCGCTGAGCGCAGCCCTATCTATAGCCCGCCGGCCCTGGCGCGCGTCCGAGCCCCGCCGAGCCTCCCTTTGTGACTGAGGTGTGGGGGTTGTGGGGAGGAAACTGCCCCTTTTTTGGTTTGTTTGGTTGCCTTGTGCGGGCTACTCGGAGCTCAGAGAAGCAGTGAGAGAGAACTTAGCGGAGGTTTTCTGGGGGTAGACTTGCCTTAATGGGGACTTGATAGGTGGTATCAAAACTTGGATTTGCCGCTCAAGAAGTAACCTCTCAACTTGGCCATTGTAAAGGCTTATGTAAGGCATTTGGGAGCCATTGTTTGCGCTTTGGCCACCGTGTTAGTTCACTCGTGGCTTCTCGAGCGATTTACAAGGAGGTGTCCAGCTCCTCGGGCTTCCGGTCAGGAGGCCTGGTTTGCCCGATGTTAACTGAAAACCGTGTTTACGTGGCTCACTGCAAAGCACTGTATGCAAATGAGTGCCTCTGTATTTGTGTCTTAGTGTAGTAGTTTTAGTGTGGGGACAGTCTGGAACAGACCTCTGGGGTAGAAATCTTACATCTGAAGCTTAGAATCAGGAACGTTGCATTCGTTCCCATGACTGAAATTCAAGAGGCGAGACTGGCAGCCGGTGCCATTGTTGCCCAGTTCCTGCGGCGAGTGTTTACTGCTGGGGGGAACACATGGCAGGCAGCCTGGTGCTCCTCCAGGGGT